ATGATCTCTACTCCTCTAAATCATTCTTACTTTTTGTCATTTAAAATTCGCAGATTTTGCACTCACATATTAAAAAATTTCAATTCCACCATTTAGTTTGGAGAAAGAAGAGAGAAAAAGGGAGGAAAAATTGTTAATCAAAAGTAGGCATCAAATATTGGTCGATCCACGAAGCCTAATCTGACCCTCAACAAAAGTTTAAAAGATATATATTGAAAGTGAGACTTATTACTTTTTGTCATTATTCAAAGTCCAGCCTATGAACCCAAAATACAATTCATAGTTCCGCACAAGGGAAAATCAACGTTATCTTATTAGTCAAAAGTGAGACTTTTAAGGCTCCTTTCAACAACTTATCTACTTTTAGTTTACAAGTTTTCAAAATATTACTATTTAATCTCAAAATGAAGCTTCACATCTTCAATTGAGACTGCTGGATGTGCATATGTACACAAAAGAACTACCGTGTGGAATATATGCAGTATACTAAAATGTACAAATGTTTGAGTTGAGAAGCTTGGGAGATTTAACCTACTTTATCAAGCCAAGAAACCAGCTGTTGAGTTGAAGGCCTCTCTTTAGGTACCTTGCATAAGCAAAGGCATGCTATATCAAGAACTTCAGACATCGCTGTCTCATGCTGCTTATTGTATATTAACGGATCGAACACCTCACTTACTTTTCTGTCTTCCCTTATTTGAAACACCCAAGAGATCAAGTCTCGAACTCCTTTCGGTCTGCACATATCGATTGGTCTTTTACCAGTCAAAAGCTCTAATAGAACAACTCCAAAACTATACACGTCCCCTTTGTAAGTTGCCACCGAGGATTGCCCGTACTCTGGTGGAATGTAGCCCAGTGTACCAACAAGATCGGTCGTGACGTGGGAATCATAGGGAAGAATGAGCCTGGCAAGACCAAAATCGGCTAAGTGAGCTTTGAAGTTTTTGTCTAAAAGAATGTTACTCGACTTTATATCTCGATGGAGGATATGAGGTTCACAGGATTGATGCAAATAAGCCAGCCCTGCAGCTGCCCCCCGAGCAATCTGCAGTCTGGTATCCCAATTGAGGCAAGACGGACCATCAAGTTTTTCATGTAGCCAGTAATCTAAGCTACCATTCTCCATGAAAGAGTAAATCAGAAGCCTGTCATTTTTATACAAACAATACCCTAGAAGAAGAACAAGATTCTGATGCCGAGCACCAGAAAGCGTTTCGATTTCCGCCCGAAATTCTCTGTCCATTTGACCACAATCACCAGATAGCCGTTTTATGGCAACCTTTCTGCCGTCGGGAAGGGTTGCTTTGTAAACTAAACCAAAACCCCCACATCCTATGATATTTTCTTGATCAAAATCATTTGTCCATTTCAAAATGTCCTCCAGCGAGAGGCTTCCATTGTTATTGTTTTGGAACAGAACTACCAATCCTGACCTGCCTTCCTCCAAGTCTTTATCGTCAGTATTAGACACTTCATTTTCGGGATCCCCAACTCTTCCCCGAGGAGCCCGAAGCATAAACACAACCATAAGAGTTATAAGAAACATGATCCCGAACACAATACCGATAACAATACCTACAATACTCCCTATATCCATTCTTGATTTGTGGGATGGCACGAGAGGATCAATTGACGTACATATACTGTCTCGGACACAAAAATTGTTTCCTTCAAAGCTAGAGTTATCAAAGCTATGAAACTGACCTCCTTCAGGAATTGCCCCATGTAAATGATTGTATGCAACACTGAACTTAGACAAAAAATTGAGATTTTGCAGTGGAGGAGGAATTATTCCTGAAAGATTGTTGTGAGAAAGATCCAAAGTCTCTAAGCTAACCATCCCCGAAAGGCTGCTCGGAATCGATCCCGAAAGGCTGTTGATTTTCAGATCAAGAACTAGAATCTCCTTAAGATTTCCAAACTCTGGCGAGATTGGCCCACTGAGATTGTTGAGACTGAGATTCAAAGTGGGTGGAAACCTCCATACTTGATTGTACTGCAATCCAGTTCCATTTCTTGTCACAAAAAGGGAAAAATCTAGTGAGGAAGGTTCATCGGGCGAGAATTTTCTGTCAATGAAACTCCTCATTTTAGTCATCTCTGTAGGGATATATCCAGTGAATGAATTATTAGATAAATCCAAGTAAAACAAGGACTGCAACTCGCTGAACCAGGGTGGAATAGTTCCTCCAAGACGGTTCCACGACAAATCCAACAACTGCAGCTTCCTAGAACCTCTCAACCACTGGGGTATGATTCCCTTCAATCCACAATTAGCAATTATAAAAACTTGGAGGCTCTTGAAATGCAAGTTAGGATCATCTTCCAACACTTCACCACGAAAATTAAAGGTAAGGACCATTGTACTCAAATTCTTGCAATGTTGCAAGATGTTAAGAGCAGACGAAACATTAACAATGCTCGTATTCGTAAGTGATAAATACGAGAGGCTCTGAAAATTCCTAAAGCTTTCGGGGATCTGACCGCCAAGGTTGTTCCTAGCAAGGTTTATACTTCTCAGTTGAGTACAAGAGGGAAGATTACTTGGTATAGAGCCATGAAACCTATTAGTGCCTAAATCAAGTGTAACCAGGCTTTTCATTGCTGAACAGTTGAGATCAAGAGTTCCCTGTATTGAATTGTTCCTCAAATTTAGGACAGTGAGTGAAGCAGAGTTTGACAAAGAACTGGGAATCTTTCCGCTAAACCTATTAGATTCGGTAGCAAAATAACTCAAATTCACAGAGTTATAAAAAACATCCGGAATTTCGCCGAAAAACCCATTAGATGACAAATCAAATCGAACAAGGTTTGTGAGATTCCCAACACCACCATTCAAAGAACCAGAAAGCTTGTTATTCTGAACACAAAAATGTGTCAATTTCCTCAATCCAGAAGCCTCATCAGGTATCCCACCACTGAGTAAATTCGATTCCACAAACAGTCTCTTCAAGGAAACACATTCAGCAAGCTCAACAGGAAACATACCAGTGAAATGATTGAAACCCAGATTCAGAATCTCAATTCTAGAGGAGTTAACACAAACCCCAAGTGGAAGACTTCCATTAAAGTTATTATGAGAAACGTTAAGAAGCCGGATGGAAGGCAAATTAATGGTACCTGATGAGATGCTCCCAACCAAATCGTTGAAACTGAGATCAAGAACTTCCAAGTATGGTAGATGAAACAGAGCCAAGGGAACGGACCCATTGAGAGAATTAGAAGACAGATTGAGAACTCTGAGGTGTTCCAATCTTGCAATCGAGTAAGGTAACTGACCCTTGATCTTCCTACCACCAAGCTCCATCTTCACAACCCGTCCAGAAGAGTCACAAGTGAGGCCAATACAACTGCAGCAATTCGTCGAACAGCCGGTGTGCCATCCGTCGATTTGGGAATCAAACGCGCTGTGGAAGTCCTGCAAGGCCTTGAAGTCGTCGGAATGGCAAATTGTGGGGTTCTGGGAAAGGGAGAGGCGGAATTGGAAGAAGAAAGAGACGGGAAGAAGGATTAAGAAGAAGCTATGAAGACCCATCGAGGAGAATTGGGATTAAGGGTCTGGGGTTTCAGGGAAAAAGATTGCAGGAAATGGGGAGAGAGAGAGAGAGAGAGAGAGAGAGAGAGAGAGAGAGAGATGGGGAGAGAAACAGAGAAATATGGGATGAAATGATGTAATGGTGAAGCTCCATTGTCAAAGCTGGACGACGGTGGCAAGAGTCAAATGGTTGGTGGCTGAGCTCATCGTTATCACGTGCACGTCGAAGGTAGGCCTTATTTATTCCTATTATTATTTTTGAAACAAAATTTTAGTAATTAATGATTCGATGTGGACTGGAGTGATCACGTGCCATCGACATTTTTTTTTCTTTTCTAAATATACTTTTTTAAGTTTTTGTTTATAGTTTAGACTAGATTTGCAAGGGGACAAAACTATTTTTTTGTTTGGTAAGTTTAATTCTTTACGGCACTTTAATAACTTGGTTGAAGTTCCATCCTAATAATGTGTAAAATATGTAAGTATATAATGCACCTAACTTTTTGGTTGGCACCTCTTAATTTTGCTAAATTAAGATTAATTTGTTTTAAAGTTGGTTCTTCCCAACTCAAAATAACCTATAATTAAAAAAAAAATTGTTACTAATGATTAGTACTCTTTAACCTTTTTTTTTAAAAAAATGTTAGTATTTTTTTTAGTCTTTTAAAAAATATCAAGAATATTACTTTGAAACAAAATATTAAAAGTTTTCATTTAAAACAAAAGCAATTTTTATTAATTCATCACACTTTTTGTTCTTAATTTGTCATTTTAAGCCGAAGAAAGTATAGAAAGAATTTGATCCGAGGTTTATCTAAAATGTTTGAGAATAAACCGTCTAAGAAAAATAAGAAAAAGATAATAATTTTGTTTGGTGTAATACTATCAAATTTTCGTGTAAACAATTTACTTCAATTGCGATGGACGGCCATTGATATTCACAGTCAAGCTCACGAACCGGGGCGACAGCCGGAGAGTAGATCATTATGGAAGTCTCGGGCTCCTCGAAGAAGATGATAGCGACGCAGGCTGAGATGGTCGAGGCTAGGGTTCCAATCCCTTACCGAGACCAGTGCGCTCACTTGTTGATCCCTCTTAATGTCGCCAATCAGAGTTCTACCTCCCATGGAAATGCGAAAACGAGCGCCATTCCTACGAGAAGTGTGAATATGAGCTCGTTATGGAGAGTACGAAACAGTCCGAGATTTGAGAAAAAGGAAGAACATGTCCTGTTTCATAAAATAAATAAGATAAAGAGGATCATTATTTCCCAAACTTGGGCACTACCAAGGAAACCAGTTATTTCCTAAGCTTGGGCTCTGGAAGCATAAGCTCTTATTGGGTGTCAAAACGGTACTAAAATTGGCCAAGTTGTTTTGAAAACAATTGGATATATCATAAATCTTTCTTTGAAAGACTAAGGACCTATGGTGGGGCATTTTGCAATGACTTGTGCACTATAAAATGAACTTACTCGATTGACTACTTGATAAAGGTCCATTCATCATTTCTTCTGGTCAGCTCAAGACTCTCAAAATTCACCACGAGCTTTATTTGTGAGAGGGACTGATCTTTTGTACCAATTTCTTAAGTTCTAATAGTAGTACCTTTTGTAAGGTTGGGCTACTGGAAGTTCTGTTAGACTCTTAGGATAGTAAAAGGAAATTATGAATGATCCACCCCAAAATGATTATATATTTTCCTCTTCTACCGTTTTAGAGTATGAATCTTTCATGGAAAGTGGGTTATCCTAGTTGCAAAAGATGCTTAAAAGTTACAACCTACAAGGATCTATTTTTCAGTGAACAAAGGATTATTTTCACTTATCATACTGGCCATAAAAGTTTTGTCGTTGTTTAATCTATGCTCTCAGTGCTCATTTTTGTTCAGTTAGAAAAAGAATTCCTCCCTCAGATGGCTCAAAGAATGCTTGGTATATCAAATACGAAAGGTTAGTTGACTTTTCTATTTGTTCGGTGTTCACTGCTTGCATTGTAGTACATCTTCAAAAACTCTTCCCAAATCTGCATCTTTGAACCCAAGCCCAAAGCCTCAAGATAAAACTCTCCTACCTCGAATTTATATAGAGTAATTTATTACAAAAAAAGAATAACAATTGAACTCTCTTTCTAAAGTAACCAGAAAGGAACAATTTTTTTTTTTTTTTTTTTTTGCAACAATCCTTAGATACAGCATTAAACCACCTTGTATTCCTTTCCAACCATATGTTTCTTTAGAAAGTTTTTAAAGCATTAGCCGAAGGCTATCAAAGTGAGTATGGCTCAATAATAATTGACATGTACTCTTGTTCAACGAAATCGTAAAAAGGCCTTCAGTTAATTTTTTAAAAAAGTTTAACAACATTTTCAAGGTGCACTCAAGTGATTGCATATGGTGAGAGATGATATGAGACACTTATCAATTTCTTGAGTGATATCCTAAGTGAGTGTGCTTAATACCTTTCACCCACGAGAGGAGAAGATCAGTCAAATAAAGAAGAGCGGTAAGGGGTGGAGGAGGAAGAGGCAAAAGGCAAAAGGCTCTTTCTTACATTTCCTAGAAGCACTACTGAAGTGCTCACTCACGGCTCCTATAAAAAAAAAAAAAAAAAAAAAAAAGTGCTAATTGCATGTTAGTCAACAAATGGCTGAATTTCTTCCCCAATAAATGTAAGTGTTTTTATTTATAACTTTATTGAGATGGTTGCTTGAGGCACAAGACTAGGTGTGGTTTTTATGCAAAACTAGATGTGGAAGAGAATTAGAAGCAACGATGTTTGGATGGCTTTCCATGGGCTGAGATAACTAGGTTTCATGGGTCTTCTGAGTATATTTTTTAAAAAATAAACATAAAAGACAGAATTAAACTGATAGGGTTCTTTTAGGTGAGTGCCTAATTGGAGGTGCTTGCCCAGCCTAATGTTGATGCGCAAAGGTTCTCGGTGCGCAGGCTCCAAGATGTTGTGTAATCATTTCTATACTATTTGATGCAATGACCACTGTTCTCACTCATAGGTAGTTTTATATAAAGAGCTGCCCCTAGAAAGGGAAAAATAGGAAAAGAGATCATTGCTTACGTTAATAGTCCAACGCACAAGTAGCTTCCTCATTCCATATGAATGCATCTTTCTTCAACCCCTAAGTGAGGGGAACAATTTTCCATATTTAGTGGGAAGTCGTTGGTAGAATCTTATCAATCCAAAGTACGTCCTAACACCTTCGATGATTTCAATGTAAGCTACTGTAGCATTCCTTGGATTTTGGTTGGATCCACTTCAACTCGCACTCCACCTTTGGCTGAGGGAATTGACACTTCTTGAGGTTTACATAAGCTCCCTTACCTTCAAAATTGAGAAAAGGGCTTCCAATTGTAATCCTTGAGAATCTAGATCAACATTGTGGATAAGGATTGTTTAATCAATGCAAACATGCCAACTACCATTTTTTTATTAACCAGGAGGATCAGAATGGGGTTGGTGTTGGGTTCTTGCTGTTGGGGATGTGTGTGGAGGGAGTAGGTGATGAAGGAGTCTTGCGAGGGTGGGTTTGGGATTGGAATTACATTGAAGAAGACTTGGAAGTTGATCTTTCCACTTTATTGCATAATGTCGAGTTACTTGTTGATTGTTTCACCTAAATCTGACAGGATATCATAAATTACTGACATGTCAAGGTTCGCTATTTCCTGGTGCCAGCAATAGGAAGGTATTTGAAAACGTAAACGACTTTTAAATCTGTTGGGCATATCCCTTATTCAGCATTTAGAATAAAGTTATTCACATATCCCTTATTCAGCATTTAGAATAAAGTTATTCAGCATCTGAATGTTGTTGATGTGTACTGATATCAATGGTTTCATAACTTTTCAGATACAATTTTTCCAAGTTCAAGTTTGAAAAGAAATTAAGAGAGTCGTAACTAATCGAGTTTTATGCTCCTCAGGAATTGGATTTGAATTTAGGTCTGTGAAGGGATGTCTTTGATGGGGTTGGTTTTCTGTATCTAGAAAAAAGATGACGAGTTCTCTGCTGTATTTTAAGTTCAAAGTGTTCCTTTTGATTTATGAATTTAAACCACATTATCGTTTCCTTCCACCAAATTTCAAATACTCAAAAAATTGACATATAAGAATTGGATGCTTGGAACTGCAATTAAAACTATTGATATATTTTATATAGGGTTGTATGAATTTGAAATCTAACCCAAGACAATATAATGATTCCTTAAAATTGCTATAAATATAATTTTAATTATTAATGAATTGATTTAAGGAAGGCAATACTCGCAATAAGTTTTTCTAAAACCACACATTTGTACCGAGTTACATAACTTACTAACGTTAAATCTAACCACTCAATTTAATTTTTGATTTGATTTTTTAAAAATTCGGAAGCCTAAAAACTAATAACTTGTAATTAAAAAATAATAATAAAAACCAAAAGAAGCTCCGTACTTATGTTATCCCTTCAGGGCAAAACCGTAATTTGAGAAAGTGATGGAGGGATGGGGAGTGTTTAATTGTAGTACGGAGGCGAGTGTTCCAAGAATATAAATGGTAATAATAATTGTTTATTTTCGGAAGGAGAATAATAAACCCCCTTCACAAATTTAAAATAAAAAATAAAAAATAAAAAATGGAAACTTGGTGATCGTATTGATTACAGACAGATTTAAAAGAAAAAGAAAAAACCCAATTCCGATAAACAAACAATATATTTAGAAAGCAGAAAAAGAGAAGGCAACAAAACATTCACGAAATCTCCCTCTCTTAACAGACAGAATTTGATTTGGGTGGCAGGGTAATGATACATGTATTTGTTGTTTGTTGAACAGTGGCAGTACACAGAAAAAAGCAGGAGCAGAAGCAGCAGGTAATTTTATCAGAAGTCTTTTAAGGAATTTTCAGACTGGGCTTTTAACAGACAGAATTTGATTTGGGTGGCAGGGTAATGATACATGTATTTGTTGTTTGTTGAACAGTGGCAGTACACAGAAAAAAGCAGGAGCAGAAGCAGCAGGTAATTTTATCAGAAGTCTTTTAAGGAATTTTCAGACTGGGCTTCGTATTTTCCCTTTCTCGTGATCTTCTTTTCCCTCCCTCTCCTTAAACCCTTTTCCTTCTTCAGGCTAGCTAACTAGCTAAGAGAGTTCAAAGCTAATCGAGTCCAGAAAGATGAGTAGTAGGTGTGGTAGAACTGCAAATGCGAGACAGTACATTAGATCCAAAGTCCCAAGATTGAGATGGACTCCTGAGCTTCATCACTCCTTTGTTCTTGCCATTCAAACACTTGGTGGCCATCAAAGTAACTTCTTTTTCTTACTTCTACTCCTTTTACAGTTCAAACACATGGAAGTCAAAGTTTTTTCATTTTGGATTCATGGTTTTTGTTTGGTTGAATTAGAAGCTGCGCCTAAGCTTGTTCTACAGCTGATGGATGCCAAGGGACTCACCATTTCACACGTAAAGAGCCATCTCCAGGTCTTGTCTTTCTCCCTCTCTCGCTAAATAAAAGTCAACACATTTCTCATTTGGGTTGGATTCATATTCTTCTATATATGTTTCTTTGGGACAGATGTATAGGAGTGTGAGGGCTGATATGGGAAGACAAGGTACAATAATTATAATTTAGGCCATACTGACATGGTTTTCTTTTACCTTTTTTGGGTTATTTAGAAAATAAGAAAACAATTAATGTTTATGAATATAACCCTCTTTATTATTTCAAATTTAACCCGATGTTTTATTATTTTTAGTTCATACACAAATTGTTGTAAATGGCACAAAAAGCTATTGCCCTTTCAACTCCTAATATTAGCAATTTTCCTGTACACACATTTCCGGCGTAAATTTTGTTTTCTTTTCAATAATGAATTTTTGTTTGGTTCACAGATCTAAATTCTTCAACCCTTAAAAGAAAGCCTAGTATCTTCGAGGACGAGGAGGAAGACGAAGACGACTGGTGCGTAGAAGAAGAAAACGCGAGGGATTTGGGCGAAGTAGCAAAGGGAGGCGATCAAGAACAGCTCAAATTTCAGCGTCAAAAAGGTGCCTGAAGTAACAACAAACATTGGGTATTCGTTTGTCATTGTTTTTCCCTTCTTTGTCTCTATTAACATGTTTTCTTCTCATATTCTGATCATATCAGCGCAAAAATCTGGAGCTGGGGCGAGGAACAAATAATATATAGGAACAGTTTGAATCGATACTATTCTTATGATTGCCAAGGAGATAGAGAGGGAATGGAGCATCCAAAGATAAAGATGATGCCTAATTCTAAATCAGACCGCGTTGCAGTGAACGAATCTGCTACTGTTAAACAAGAGGGACATCGAAGAGAAGAAGAAGAGAAGGAGAAAGAAAGCAAGTTCTTTGAACTATCTCTATCTCTATCTTTACAACATCACGATCATCATTCAAGCACTGAAATCTGTGAGGCAATTTCTTCTCCTTGTTCAAAGTTGGATAAAAATAATTACAATCACATAGATTGTTGGAGTTGGTGTTCTATAAGGCAACAGCAGAAAATTGGTGTGAATTTAGAGTTGTCAATGGCGCATTTTGGTGGCTAATCAGAACTTGTGTGAATTCAATTTCAGTTTCGAATTTTCTTTTTAGGTCTCTCTCGCTTCCAATATTTCGGGTTGCATTTATTTTGCATGGGAAATGGGTATTTTAAATTTAGGGACAGAGTTGTAGTTTTTATTTTAGTTCTAGTTATAGGCCAACTTTCATAAACTTGGACATAATCAAGGGGCCTTCTCCCTATTGAACTAAAATAAAAATACAATACTGATTCAAGTTAAGTTAAATAATACTATAATTATACAAATTTAAAGTAAAAAGGGTAAGATTTATCTAAATCTAAGATTCGATTAATCATACTTCCTATGTTTCACGGTAGAAATTATTTGTTTAAAATATTTTTAAATCACTCCTCTTCCCTCCCTCCAATCCTCCACTTTCTAGATCTAAATAATAATATTAATAATAAATCCAAATATATAATTCTAAGAAAGAAAAACCACGTCACTATAGAGAGATTGATAACTTTAAAAAGCCACATTATATTTAAAATACCATGAAATCATCACCGGTGACACTCACGAGGGTATATGAAATATGTTTAAATGATATTATAGCTTGCTGCAGTTGAGGGGCAAAATCTTATAATCAAGATCCAAAATGGAGGATGACCAACCTATGACTATGCTTGACAAATAATAGCGCCAGTTTCATTTAGAAATATCATGTCACTCAAAACATACAAGAGACTTCATAATCACGTTTTACAATTACATGCAATCATATATACTACAACAAGCCTTCGTGCACACAAACAAGTCACTGCACTCGTGGAGAAGACTTTGAAAGCACCAATGGCAGGTACAACTTCAAGTCAGAAATCTTCTTTGTCCTTGTGTGGTTGTTGAATATTTATTTACAAGTGCTTTCAGGTTATAATTATATTGTTATTACAAGAAGCCAATGGTTGGTATGGTGGTGCTCTCCTTGGTGATCGAGATGAAAGCAGTGAGAGCTATAAACACTATTCTGAGTTAATGTGAGGTAATCGGATTCCGTACTCGGGCTTGTTGCATTCATATTCAAATTAACAGTTATAGTTTGACATGTATTCATTTGGCTAACCATGATATGCAGTTTGAAATTTGTTCTTAATCTACTTTTTCTTTCTTTCATTATTTTTTTCGTTTTATTGTAGTATGACAAATATACTTAACAAAAAAAGTTATCCTCTTTTTGACAATTGTCTTCCTAGCAAACTTGGTAATGGGAACTCTCTGAACGCAATTTTTTCCCTCTCCAACTGATTTATTGGCTAAGAAACACTTTTATAATATATTAAGCATGCTCTTATTGTTTGAGCTTGTAAGGAATTCCTTCCTGTTCTTTTGCAAAATATTAACCAACCAACACAAATCAGAGGTAGAAGGAACTAATTTGTAACATCTTAACTGGGTTGACATTTGCATGTGTAGTTACATGACTTCTAATTGCAATTTGCATGTATATTCACATGTAAATCACAAAACACCACCGAAAGGAAGAGAGAAGAAGCTGTCAATTTGGGGGGTTCCTCTTCTTGAAGACCACCGGACGGGTGTGATTCTGCTGATGTTTTTGAGGGCGAGGGAGTTCAAAGTGAGGGATGCATTCCCTATGTTCCGAAACACAATTCGGTGGAGGGAGGAATTTGGTATCGACTCCCTTGTGGACGAGAATCTGGAGGACGATCTGGATACAGCAGGGAGAGGAGTTTTAGGAAAAGCGGACCAAGTTCTTACGTTGGAGGATTCAGCTCCTAGAAAGGAGTACTAGGAAACTTGATTTTCGTCCTGGAGGTATCTCTACTATGTCCCAAGTACGATTTCATGGTCTCCTTGCATATAAATTCCTTATCTCTAGCTCATTCTGTCCCCCGACCGCCGCCCATCGCTTTTCCTCGGAAGAAAAAGAAACCCTGAATTGACCTTTCTTTCATTGCTGAGATCTCAATTATTTTGCCTAATTAATTGATATGATCTCATTGTCATTTCAATCTTTGATTGTTTGGCTTGCATAGAGCCCCGAGATTTTTTATTATTTAATTTTCAAATTCTGAAGTATTGTGGTGGGATCCGCAGCAGCCAAGCGGGATCCACTCCTGAGAAGACCATTCCTTTATATTCTCTGATCGCTCCAAGATTGGTAAGCGACTCAGCGTTATTTGCATCGTGTACGCTTCTATAGTCGCGTTGAAATGCAGTGTCGAAACACGTGTTCCTCTACATGCACTACGTGTCGAAACACGTGTACTACGTGTCACTCCTGGTTGTGCAGCATCTTCCTGGTTGTCACTTCTGGTTTTACAGCATCTTCCTGTTTTCGACACCTTCAACATCATCATCATGCCCAACCTATTCGCTTTGTGTCTGGTCATTACTTCTTTATCTGCAGCGGGACTCTGGTCTCCTTCCCCGGCGTCCCGGCCAGATCAGGAGCAGGATGTTATCGTTAAAGAAGGTCACCGAGTGGTTGTGGTCGAGTATGGCGACCAAGGACAACAGAATACTAAGGTTTCCATCTCTTCCGAACCCACCAAAGACGCCGAAACGCACCGCACCAGAGATCTTATTTGCGATGCCTTGGGCAAATGTAAGCATAAGATAGCCAGTGCTGTGGGAAAGGCTAAAGTAATGGTTTCGGAGACGGCGCAGGAGGCCCACAACGTCGGAGAAAGGGCATCGTTAAAGGATATGAATCAATAAAGCGACATGAAATACGGAAACCATTCTACTAAAGATTGATGTTTAGCAAGTCTACCAAAAAGAAGTTTCCTTCAAACCTGGAGACGAAAATAAGTGGAATAACTGGAATTACATCATCATCATGGACCAGTTAAAAGGAAGTAAGTAGGGTTTAGGGTTCTTGCTCCCTTCTTGCTTTTTCTAATTTCAATGATTTTCCTTTTATCATTTTTTCCATTCTGCTTGTTTGTTCCTATTTTGTAGTCAGCACATGCAATTTGCAAACTTCGTGAAGTTCTGGGCGAGTCCATTTCATCTTATCATCAAGTCCTCCAATCATATATGGGAGGTACAGTTATATGATTTTACCTTCTTACCCAAATGCAATATGCTGTATCGTTTTCAGGAATAGGACCCATCTAACTTTGAAGTTTTTGCATATATTTCAGTTTGACAAACCTAGCATGAAGAAGAGGATTCTGGTATATTAACAGAATAATGGTAAAAATCTGAGCAAGCAATGACAGGAATTGATTAGCTTTGCTTTCTTTTTCTTGCTTTGACAGGGAAAACATACCATATTATATGCACTGGGTGCTATTTCAACTGTCTGCCACAAATTAATTTCTTCTGAGATGCTGCCTTGCCCAATGCCATTGTAAACCAGGTATCTTCTTCCTGCACCAAGAAAGTAAAGAAATTCCGAGAAGCCGGGTTTACCGATCTGGAGCAGGTGCAAGTTTAGGGTTTTGGGGGGGGGTTTGGGTTTTTGGGGTTTGGGTTTTGGGGGTTAGGGTTTAGGGTTTTTG